TTTATTTATAATTTAATATTAATATGTTAAAATATTAATATTTTATTAAAAGTTAGAATCAAGGGAAGGGAAGAGGAGAGAGAAAAAAATAATATTTTATATAAGTAGAGTTGTAATTTTTTAAATTTGTAAAGGGTATTTTAATTTTTATGATTTTTTGAGTTTATTCCTCAAACTATGGAATAACTAATACCATGAAAGAAGATGGTATTAGCTATTCCTTAGTTTTAGAGGATTTTGAAGAATAGTCATTCTTATGAAATGGTTATTCTTTCAACTATTTCTCAACCAAATAAAAGAATCAAAATTTTTTGAGAATAAAGAGAGATGGCTTAACTATTCCACCAATCAAACATGTTATAAAGACTAAGAAGAGGTAGCATTGTGATGGGTCTTAAAAGGAAATTATACCATATAATTTCCTTGTTATTGTACTTTAAGCTAAGTCTATGCAAATGCTTTGATTATTGATAATAATAAAATCAAATGATCCTGTTAATTTGGACAAACAATGGAGTGTAAAGGGCATAAGCCTAGACTTCTGCAAGGAAAAGGTTCTTACACTATGGATTACTTTATCTAAAGCTTGTCAATCAGTTTGCAACAGAACGTGTCAGGTGGTGTGGCAGCGCGTGGAGTTGCGTGCGTGGATCAAACCAGGTCGGTCGGCACATGGAAGCACCAATTGTCGACTAGCAAATCAAAATGAGACACGAGACAAGATGGTTGGCGGCGATGATTTTGTGATTTGCTGAACATGGTGATGTGAATTCAATAAAGATTTATCCATTTGAATATAGGATTCTGAAACAACAGAAGAAAATCAAAACATTGAAGATATAATAAGTTTCTATAAAATTCAAAATGAAATAAGTTTTGATATCATGTTAAAGAAGAAAAATTTTATATTTTGAATTATGTAAATTGTTAAAATATAAAATAAATTTTATTTATATTTTAATTTTAACAAATTAATAGTACTGTTAATTAAAAAGTTAACTAACCAATTAACAGTATTGTATTCTAATTGTATCATTGAATTTATACAATAATCTTAATTATGAATAATAAAAAATAATTCACAATTGACATATTAATCGATTCCTATAATATATCATTTACAAGTTTTAAATTTATTTGTAATATATCTCAAAGAAAATTACACTAAGTGAAAATGAAAATGGCAAAAAAATTATCCAGAGCCATGCATCGTTACTTTGCTAACCAAAGTAGAAAGGACAGTATAATAATCGAGGGAAAAGAACAAGGGTATGGGTTGAAAAAATAAAAAACTAAGTGGGCGGAAAGCTAATGCCTTATCTCTTGCAAGGTTGCTTGTATATATTTTGTATAATATAAAGGAAATTGAAAAAGGAAATTGAAAAAATGGAGAGAGAAAAACAAAAATGTGTTGCATGCAATAAACTCTAGAGCTCATATTGTGTTCTGCTAAGAAAGGGGCCCACCCCACCCACACTATTGAGTGCAGGGCACCTTCTGTGTGTCACGAATATGATATTAGTAAAAAATAGGATGAATTATATATATATATATATATAATTTAATTTTTCATTATTCTTTAAGTATATTTTTTTGATTAAAAATATAAAATTATAATTTATAAATTTATATAAATTTTATTATTTGAGTTTAAAACTATACAAAATTAAATTTAAATTTTGATTTGTAATAAGTGATATCAAAATAAATTTAAATTTTTATTGATGTAAATCCTCAATCTCAATCGTACTAACTTATCTTCTTTAGAGATAAAGAATCTTTTTATCTAAACATTAGTTGATGAGAGGTATAAGAGTTTAAATAGATAAAATGTGATGAATTTTATATTAATAAAAAATAAAATAAATTATATATATATATAAATATAAATTTTTTATCATTTATCAAATATATTTTTAAAAACTGTGAATTGAACTCATCAATCATACGGGTTCTAGCCAGTTATTATCCAAAAAAAAAAAAAGGTTAGAATTGACTTATTGATCTCACACAAATTACACACAGAACAGTCAAATTTCAAGCACACTCACCCATGAGGTGCGTCAAGAGTACATTATGTGCTGTGATTGTCGGTGTCTCATGTTGATTTGACGCCATTTGCAGGAGTCTCCAAACCTTAAATTCTCTGCTGCGTCACGATTTAACCTTTGAATGCGCCCCACATAGAAGCCACGAGGCAAAATGGATTTAAAGCTATCGACTCTTTTTCAAAATGCAAGGTGAAAAATTGCTGTTACTGTATAAAGAGGAGATTACCTGGTCAAAGTCAAAAGTTCTTTATCAGATCTTTTTGCTACTCATCACGGAGAAAGAGCCTTAATTCACTGCTATATATAGAATTCTAAAGGTTTAGATTAAAAGCTTTGAGAAAATTTGGTATAGTTCTGACAACGCAGAGTCAAATTATTGACAGACACGTCGTTGCCTTTTGTTACTTTCTGTTTAGCATTATCCTATCTTACATCCTCTCTGTTATCCGAAGCGGAATTTTTTATTTTGAATTATAAATTATATAAAAAAATTTAGATATATATTAAAGAAAAAAAAACTAACAATATTATAATTATATCGTAATTTATCAATATTGTAATTAACTGATTTAACCTATAATTGCGATAATTATTTTAATGGCACTGGCAATTGATACATATTTCACAAGAAGATTAAGAGAGACAAGCTAAAACAATTTTTTCACCTTGCAGCCCGACTCACAAATCTTCCTCGTTTGCAAATTTTGTACTTGACAATAAGAAGAAGAGAAGATAACAATTAGTCCTAAATGTCATATTGTCCCTTATAAATAAGATTCAATGTTAAGGCAGGAATATGATAGGTATCAAGAAGATTAAGATGTGAGTTTGAAACATTTTCAATGTGAGCGTGATTCATTTTTGTATCATTAGCAAAATGGGTAGGAGGAAAAGAGAAAGTGAATATCGTAAAGCATAAGATAAAAAGACTAAAAGTCATATGATTATAATAAGCAGAGTCGAATAAGTCAAGATGAATTAAATTACTGGGAAATAATTTCTTGAATATAAATATCTAATGGTGGAAATGGATTTTGACGTAGCAATGAAGCCTTGACTACTTCATATTTTTGAGAAAGAGCCATAAAACCTATGTAAGAAAAAGATAATCTTCACTAATATTAGCTTGAGTCGGTTGATTCCAAGTAAGTTGAACTTGGGTAAAAAAATCATATACCAATGAGATAGATTCATGTTTGAGTTTGTGTAGAGTAATCCACGACCGGTAATGGTGAGTAAATTCAAAAGTTTTATTCCTGGTGGTAAGAAATTTCCAAATCTCTTTTATTGTCTTAAAATTAAAAAATTAAATATAAATATTAGGAACAAATGTGTTATAAAACCAAATAATGTTATGATGATTTTTGCTATCTCAGTCTCAAAGGCATTCTGTAAACTTGGTAATATTCTTATTAGCAGGTTGAACAATGTTCCTGATAATAATGTATCAAAATTTACATTTAATTAAAAAACTTCTCATAACGTGAGTCACAGACTGCCATTGTTTTTTATTAGAATGATTTCAATTGACTAGAAACTTCATATTTTTTCATGTTATGATAAAAATTAGTAAAACCTAAGGTCAAATTCGAATTCATGAAGTCAAAATTAGCAAAAATGAAAATTGTTAAAATGTTGGCCTGGTAGATGATGTGTTAGTTGACATGGTAGATGATGGTCAGGGTGGCATGGCAAGTTGTGTAATAAAGATACTATATATAGTGTGCTGACATGGCAAGATGTCATGGACTTGTCTAATTATACAGTAGATGATGTGCAGAATAGAAAACAAAAACAGCAAGTGCCAACGCGTCGGGCACGTGAGATAGGGGCAGCAAATTTGTCCGACGTGTGGGGGTGCATGAGAGATCTAATAAAACTTTGGTAACCGATGGCTGACCGATCGAAAGGAGATAGGTAGAAGGTGGCGACGATGGCATGATTCGGTGACCGAAAGTGACATGGTTTCAACACAACTCGAAAACGGTGTAAGCGCATGTACGATAGTTTTCGACGGTTTCATGTGTTGAGATTACTAAATTATAATAATGAATAATTTTGTCTAATTTACTAAATTATAATAAAAAGTAATTTTGTCATTTTGTCATTTGTTTCTTAATTGTTTTAAAACTATTCTTGTTAGCCAAACATCATAATGAATTATAATAACAATTCCTACTCTATTTCATTTTATGAACCAAATAATATAATAATCATTTTATTTTATACCTTTTTAATTCTATTCTTATAAAATAATTATTCTATTATATTTTATTCCATTCCGTGTATCAAACATGCTGTAAGAGTGAATTAAGATAACAATATGGTAATCACAGTATAATGATATTGTAATCATATCAAATTTCACTAATTAAGCTTATAATTGTATAATTTTTTTTTTATATAATTGGGGGAAGGGGGATTCGAATCTTGCTCTTTAAGTAGAGAGATAATGCACCAACCAATGAGCTAAATGCTCGAGTGTTTATAATATAAAATATAATTTGTACAATTACGATAATTGTGTCAACATTATTCCTCTATGTATATACTATTTAATTAATTATCATTGACTTATTCATATTTATGAATAAGAAGTTACAAATCGAGTTATGTAATTTATACATATAAACTTTATGAATGACAATGATAAATAATATATAATATGTGTCGAAAACTCTAATGACCCATATCCTAATGAATATAGGCAGAGAGTCCACTTCTTCCTTTTCAAATTTTTATATATTATACATTTTTAATATTTTTTAAAAATAATTTTTATCAAATAATTAATATATATAATAAAATAATAAAATAACCCTAACATGAGGTTACATCACTCTAAAATTTTTTAAATTTTTTATTTACTATATATTACTCCAACCGTTTGATGAAATTATTAATAATCATATAAATTCTATAACTCAATATGTTAAGCCCATCAAATTTTAAAAAATAAAAGTGAATTTACTAACCTAAACTTACTAAGTCTTAATATAAATCTAAACTTATCATAACATCTTATTTTTTAATAGTCCAACCCAATAACCTATTATATCATATTATATATCAACAATTCAATCCAACCGCCCAATATATTAATTAGCAATTCAATAAACACATAAAAAATAAGAGAAGAGCTTTTTCAAAAAACTATACATTTCGTGTAGAATACAAAGTAAAAAGTAA